AGTGTAATATGGGGGTGTCAGTAGTGTAATATGGGGGTGTCAGTAGTGTAGTATGGGGGTGTCAGTAGTGTAATATGGGGGTGTCAGTAGTATTGTACAGGGGTGTCAGTAGTGTAATATGGGGGTGCCAGCAGTGTAGTACGGGGGTGTCGGTAGTGTAGTACAGGGGTGTCAGTAGTGTAATATGGGGGTGTCAGTAGTATTGTACAGGGGTGTCAGTAGTGTAATATGGGGGTGTCAGTAGTGTAATATGGGGGTGCCAGCAGTGCAGTACGGGGGTGTCAGTAGTGTAATACGGGGGTGTCAGTAGTATTGTACAGGGGTGTCAGTAGTGTAATATGGGGGTGTCAGTAGTGTAGTACGGGGGTGTCAGTAGTATTGTACAGGGGTGTCAGTAGTGTAGTATGGGGGTGTCAGTAGTGTAGTATGGGGGTGTCAGTAGTGTAGTACGGGGGTGTCAGTAGTGTAGTACGGGGGTGTCAGTAGTATTGTACAGGGGTGTCAGTAGTGTAGTATGGGGGTGTCAGTAGTGTAATATGGGGGTGTCGGCAGTGTAGTACAGGGGTGTCGGTAGTGTAGTACAGGGGTGTCGGTAGTGTAGTACAGGGGTGTCGGTGGTGTAATATGGGGGTGTCAGTAGTGTAATATGGGGGTGTCAGTAGTGTAATATGGGGGTGCCAGCAGTGCAGTACGGGGGTGTCAGTAGTGTAATATGGGGGTGCCAGCAGTGTAGTACGGGGGTGTCGGCAGGGCTCTCACGGCGTGGAAGACGCAGGCTCCGCTCCGGATGAGGAACTTCACCACCTCCACGTGTCCGTTCATGATGGCCTCCAGCAGCGGGGTCCTTATCGACTTGTCCTGGGCGTCCACCTTAGCGCCCGCCTGAAAACACACCGGGGGGAGGCGGATCTCTTGCGTTAACGAAAACGAGGGCCCCCCAGAGCCCCCCCTCCCCACGCACCCCAGGTGTGCCCGGCGCTCACCTGGACGAGCAGGTAGCAGATCTCCAGCAGGCCCCTCTGGGCGGCGGCGTGCAGGGCACAGCGCCGGTTCTGGCCATCCGAGTGACCGCAGGGGTCGATGCCCTCCACTGGCGGGGAGACAGAGAGAGCAGGGGTCACCCCAGAGGACAGAGGGGCACCGAGGGGTCGCCCCAGAGGACAGGACAGACGGGCACGCAGACAGAGGACAGAGAGAGAGGGGGAGAGAGGACAGGCGGACAGAGAGCCGGTCAGCTCAGGGACTCACTCAGCATGAGCAGCACTCTCTGGACCTCTCCCTGCTTGGCGGCAGGGTACAGCTGTCTGGGGTGAAAACGCAGCTTCTTCCTCCTGGTCAGCACAGGGGAGAGCCGTTAACGAGCCGGCAGGAAGTCAGGGGCAGCCGGCAGGAAGTCAGGACCAGGAAGTCAG